TAATTGTCTTCAATTCAACTTGAATTTTCATGTGAGTAATTGATGTTCTCTTCCGCAGTTGGCCCCTGGCCTTGTTTTGGCAAATGAAAATGAAATTTCTCCATTGTCTCTTCCTATAGAGGTACTCAATTTGACTCCTGCGTCTTCAGTCTAATATGGTCAATATGTGTAGTCACTATTTATATTGTTGAAAAATGGTATTTGCAATGGAGAAGTTGCTCTCGCAAAATTCTACCACGTAATCTCCAGTATTATTGCTATCACAAAGACATTATTGTCCGCCTCCTGATTCTTCCTCTTTGGTTGTAACTTTTGCATTCCAATCACCAATCTTACCAATTCATCGTGGCTGCACACTTGATCACTTTGAACGAATAAACTAGTCAAACTCTTCCATTTCTTCATCAATGGCTTTCAGGCTGGTGCATAAATTTGAGGAACAGACATACAAAGTGATCTTCCTTCTAGGTGGACAGACATTCTCCTGTCACAGACAACACTGTACTTCAAGACAGATCTTGAGTCTTCTTGACACTAAGTGTGAAGCCATTCTCATGAACCTGTCATTCCTGGCATAATAAAGCCATAGGACTGTCTGACTCAAAATGGCCAACTGACCAGTAATTTCAGTTTGCAAATGCTTAGGATATCTCTCTTTATGTGTTCCATTTCATTGATGACTATCAATGTTCCGAGATTAAAATGTTGTACATTTACATTTTGATTACTAATGGCTCCAATTATTAAGCTGTTGCTCCCTTATTTTGAGTTGTGTCCCATAAGCAAATGAAGATCCTAAACGGCTGACTCTATCCACATCTGCAAGGATGACGACTTTGAGGAGAGTTCTTTTCCAGTCCTATTTTGAGAGCCCTCCTGGTTCTATATCAAACAACGTTAGCCTTCTAGTCTTAAGGCTTTCAGTGGTTAAGCCTTCTTCTGAGTCTGTTCTTACTCTGGAAGCTCCACTGAAACCTGTTCCCTATGGGTGACTGCATTGGTATCTGAAGTAACAGTGGTTTAGGGCCATGCAAGCCACCACAGAATGACCTGACAGATGAGTGGGAGATACAGATAATAATTATTAACTGCCCACAGAATGTATACTTTTTATTATCCCTCAGGAAATGCTCAAGCCAAAGAGACAGAAAGTCAGATGTAGATTGTTGTTACTTGAAATATTTGCAAACTATATTCCATTTTACAGTCAAGTCCTCCAATCTAAGATAAAATAAAAATTATCTTTCATTAATATATATATATATATATATATATATCTTTTTTGTCAGTTTTTTTGTTGTTTGTTTTCTTTTGTTGCTTTGTTTTGCTCTATCTTGGTTTTTGTGTATATTATTATCTCTGCAAGTGTATCTAGATCAGATAGGCGGGATAAACAATCTGGAGGAGAATACAACGGACCCAATGGTTCTGGGAGGACATGGGAGAGGGGAAGGTCGGGGAAAGGAAGTGGTGTTAACAAACCCAGGGATGGGGGGCCAGCCCCAATCCTAAATACTAAGTGGACACCTGCCCCTCCCCTCAGAAGAATTTATTTCAAAAGATGGCATTGAATCTGCAGCTCCGGGAGACGGAGATATCTGATCGGAGCACACAGGTGCTGATGAAAGGGGAGGAGAGAGTGGAGCACATCCTGGCCCACCAA